ATATTGTTGAATAACCAATGGTGTACTACTTTGTACCTATTATTAGTACACAATATCGACCCTCTTATAGACTTTACTATTTATACAAACTTGTTGTCCAGTTATCTAAGTTACGATTCAAGGTTTTTGATAAATTCAAGGATTATTTTTACTAATTGTCTTGATATTTTCCTTTAGTATTATAAAGACTTGACTTGAAATTATTTATTTTCAGTCTTAAGTCACCGTTTGATCGAAACATTTATTCATTGAAAACACTACCAGTGCTACTAAAATGTCTTTCCAAATTAAAAACCTATTCTCCCGTTTATACAAAACGGCATTTGATATAATATTATACACATTAATATTCGCCACAATTTTAGCGTTACTTCCAAACCATTTGTTTGTCAACTTTCCGATTGAGCCGAAGAGTTATGAATTAGTGGTTCCCGAGAAAGTGGACAACTGGAACAATGACTTAGTCGACAAAAGTGAGCTCTTGTTGAAAGGAGTAGTCATAGGACCAGAATCTTTGGCCATTAAAGACAACTTCATATACACGGGTCTCGCAGATGGAAGACTCGTTGAGATCAATAAGAAGACACTTAAGACCAGAGATATATCCCGTTTTGGAACTAAACTTCTTTGCAGTAAATGATGTCTAAAATATTGATAACTTTATTGAAATTGTAATATATATTGAAATGATAGAAACTGAAGACATCGCTGATTGCGGACGAGTTCTTGGCGTTCGGTTCCATAATGACGGCCATCTCTATGTCATTGATTATGTGAACGGATTGTTTCGCGTCAATGTGACCACTGGTGTCAAGGAGTTGATTGACTTTAAGAACCCAGAAATCAAAGGATTTTATGATGACCTCGAATTTGATCCCAAACTTAATATCGTCTATATTTCAATCCTAACCTCCAAATGGCAATTAAATCAAGTGATGTACGGGTTGCTTGACTATGATGATACGGGATATGTTTTTGCTTATAACTTTGATACCAAAACAAGTGTTAAACTAAGAACTGGAATACGATTTGCAAATGGACTTCAATTAAGTGCCGACAAGAAGTATCTATTAGTGGCCGAAACCCAAAATCTGAGAATTTCCAAGATTTCACTGCAAACTATTCATAAGGCTATCAAAGCTAACCGACAATTAACTGACACTGAATACGAAGTTTTTGCTACACTTCCCGGAGAACCCGATAATATCAGACTCGACCCGAACGGCGATGTATTGGTGGGAATGTTTGCCGTCAGACATAACGGCAAAGTAGGCTTTGATTACCTCACCTCATGGCCATTGATTAGCAAAGGAGTCGCCCGAACAATGTATGTGTTATCACTTGCTATCACTGCCATCAACGATAACACCATCGGAAGCAGTGGTTTGAGAGCCATTGCAATTGATTTATACACGGGTCAGGCACTCGGCAAGTATTTGCCCACAACTGGGGCTGTCATCAAATTGGACGGAAAGACAGGTCAAATAAAACAAATTTTGGGCTCAAATAAGTTTAATGGAGTGACAGAAGCAGTGGTTGATAACAACGGCGATCTCTATTTCGGTTCATTTCACAGTCCATTCTTAGGCCGAATTAAAAAAGGAAACTTTTAGTGACTTAATGACTGATTTGTAAATTATTCTCTAAATAATTTTTATTACGAATAAATGTTTCAATTGACAATTTTTTAAAATATTGCCAATAATTATTTCATTTAAATATTTAGTTTATATTCACCACAGCTTTGATGCTATTGTCTGATAGTGTGTTTGGTTTATAAGGAAAAAATATTCAGGTGACTAATATTATAAATGACCCTTAAATAACTTAAGAATATTTAGTTGATACTGTATAAGTTACAGTAGATAATTGCTCATGCTAATTGGGCTATTATATATTTTGCACTTATATTACAGCTATAATAGGAAAGTTGTTTTAAATAATCTAATTACACGTCAATTACATTGTAATAATAATTTTTTATAACAAATTCAGCATTTA